AGAGTGGCCAAACCAACCAATCATAACAACAGAATTCTAAGCACCTGAGAGTAAGCCTCCCATAACATTGTGTTGTGCCACACCCAACAGAAATAACCCAGGTGGATAGCATTTACAATCAGGAGCTCCTCAGTTGCTCATTCCACCACTGAGTTTACAATGACTTATGGGCAGAAAAGCCATACTAAGTAAGTAATTTACTACACTGCAGGTATATACCATTTTCTTCCTTCTGCGATTCTTTGGTCTCTTTCCCAAAGGGACCAGTTTCTGATTTATTCTTCTAAAAATATTCTGTAAATATAGAACCAGAAAGTTTGTATAGATAGTTATCTTCCTTTTCCTTTAAACACACCAGACTATATACGGTAGCATACAACATATACCTCAATACTTTAACTTAACAATGTCTTGACTTATTCCATATAAGCCCAGGTTAATGTTCTTTGCATTATCTCACCCTTTAGAACACTGATGTATTAAGAATACACGGTATTCTGCCACTGTAGTTATTTTATTTTGGTGTACCTTTTCTGCTTTTTGTGGTTTTTAATAGCAATTTTATGGCACAATTTGAAGTGAAAAGGCCTATCTTATATCCTTAATTTTCATGTTTCTTTTAAAAAACAGCTTATTTATTCTTCTGACTTTTATGGACTATTTTCTATACTGATTCAAATCAGAAATGATTTGCTATAGCAAATTTGAGTTTTGAATACATGCATATGTCCACACGTTTATTTGTTTGTGTGTGTGTGTGTGTATGAATATCTAATCATTGATTTATTTAAAATTTAGTTTGAGTATTATCAAAAGTAATGTATAACATAGTTGAAAAGAACCAAACAGTTCAATAAGGCTTATTAAGAAAAACAGCATTGCTCTGGGCATCATCTGTCTCTCTGCCTTCCTTAGCCCATCTCATTTTTCTTTTTTCAGAGGCAGCCATTTTTAATTTTTGTAGCAGTTTTCTTTTGGTTTTTATCTCTGTATTTCTAATAACATGACCATAATCATATTTTTGAGATTATTTGTTGACTTCTCATCATGGAAAATGAAAATTTCACTTTTTTATTTCCCACGATCCCCACCCGCATACCTACTTCCTGTCTTCTTAACTTTTCAGTATAGTTAACATCAGTTTTGACTAGAGCAGTATTCATTGTTTACATTATTTTAATCATGTACAATCACCCCTTGATATCTGGAGGGTATTGTTCCAGGACCCTTCACAGATGCTCAAATCCCTTGTATAAAATGGTGTAATATTTGCATGTAACCTACATATATCTTCCTGTATACTTTAAATCTTCCCTAGATTACTTATAAAACCTAATACAATGTAAATGTTACATAAATAGCACTTTATGCTCCCTCTTTGGCTTTGAGGGATTGCTTTGATCACTTAAATTGCATTTTATGAGCCTTTTATTTTCTCCCTCCTGAATATTTTTGACCCGAAGTTGATTGAATCTGTGGGTGGTTGAATCCATGGATGCAGAATCCGTGGATATGGAGGGCTGACTGTAAATGCTATTAAGATCTTATTACTTTTTCTTGTATATATATATATTTTTGTTTTTCCCTAGTATTAATTATTGTATTTCTCTGTTTTGCTTGTTTAGTTTCTATACACCTATCATTAATTTATCTCTAGACTCTTCCCTAGTTATCTAAGTTGTTTTCAGCTCCCTTTGTCCCCTTCAGAGACTTCAATTTTTTGTTCATCTCCTCTCTCTTGCAATATTAATCTCTCCTTCTCTACTGGATCGTACCCATGTACATAAAAAAACTTTAGAGAACTGGCAATGCCAAACAGTCCCTCTCTTGACCTCCCTACCCTTCCCAGATTTCACCCCCATTTTTGTGCTCCACATGCTGTTTCCCAAATCCTCACCATCGGTTTTCAACCTATTCAAATCTAGCTCCTGCTCCAACTACTGTAACAAAAGCTGTTTTTTCCCCAACATCACCAGCAATCTTTATGTTGTCAAATCACTTTATATCCTTGTTTTACTTTAGCTCTTGGTGTCCTATAACACAATTAACCTTGTCCTCTTTTCTTTTGAACTTTCTCCTCTTACTTTTCTGGTAGTTTTTTCAGTGTGACTTATCTGTTGCACTACAGATGTACAATTTAGGAGGGAGATCCCTCAAATCACAAAAAATTGGAACTTTGTCATTCCTCATATACTCTTGCTTCATGCCTTGCCCCTAAAATGGACAAGTATTTATTGGCTGCTAGTTTGGATATTTCCATAACTGAAAAGTAGTGATACCCAACACACGCAACACACTGCTGTCAGGTCAGATCTGACTTATAGCGACCCCTCCTTGAGTTTCTGAGGCGGTATCTCTATGGAAGTAGATTGCTCCGTCTTCCTTCCGAGGAGTGGCTGGTGGGTTTGAACCGCCAGCCTTCTGGTTAGTAGTCATATGCCTTAGGCACTACGCCACCAGAGCTCCCAACATCAGTGATAAGCTACATTAAATTCTTACTATATGGTATAGGTCTGTGAACATAATGAGCTATGTTGCGATTTAACAATATTGATTTTTCCATATTGAAACTTATATTCCTTCTGCCACAGGCAGTGCAGTGGCATCTGTAGCGGTAGACCCTAGTGGCCGTCTCTTAGCCACAGGCCAAGAAGATTCTAGCTGCATGTTGTATGACATAAGAGGAGGAAGAATGGTACAAAGTTATCATCCTCACTCCAGTGATGTTCGCTCTGTTCGATTCTCTCCTGGCGCTCATTACTTGCTAACAGGATCTTATGATATGAAAATAAAGGTGACAGACCTGCAAGGTAATTTAGATCAACCCTCCTCCTTTTTTAAAGTCTCCTCTTTTTTTGTTAATCTAGGGTGATTGACTTTAACATTTTCAAATTTTAGTTTTATTGTATTTACTGAGCAGATTATTGGGACTCCGTTAAAATGGGCTGTAGAAAGTTTTTAACAGAGTGAATAATCTTATTTTTATTGTTAAGTACTTCTTAAAAGTATTTAACAGAATCCACATTTGTAACAGTGAATCATTTTGTTATGTGTTAAATGATGACAGATGTTAAAATACTATGTATATTTTTTTTTGCTTTTACTTAAAAAATCTCATTAATGTGCAATTTATAAAATATCTCCAGTATTTAGTTTTATTTTTAAACATTCATTAAAGGAATATTTCATTCATTAAACAAATACTTACTATGTACAAATTAAGGACAGACAGAGAGATGAACAAAGCAATTAACTCCTTGATGCAGCTTACATTTTGAGGTCAATAAAATGTAAACCAATAAATGATGTGATTTTAGTTACTGATAAGTACTATACAAAAAAAGTATCATGTAGGAATGTGACTGGAGTGGCTAGCCTAGGAAGGCAATGTTAGAGAGGATGGTTAGAGTAAGTCTTTCTGGGAAGCGCCATTTGAGTAGAGACCTGAATGGTGAGAAGGAGCAAGCCATGCCAGGGTCCCAGGAGAAGAGCCTAGCAAATAGAAAGATGCTGAGGCAGGAATGACCTTGGCATGTTCATGACACTGTCAGGAGGCAACATGGCTGGAACTTGGTGAATCAAAGAAGAGAGATGAGGGAGAACAAATCAGAGACAGAGTTTTATAGGTATTTCAGAAAGTATAATGAGAAGCCCTTGGAAGATTTTAAACAGGTGAGTCATAGGATCTGAATTACATTTTTAAAAGACAGTGTTGAATTCTGGTAGGGAGAGTGGATTGTAAGGGGGCTAAGAATAGTAGAAATGTCCATGAGGAGACTATTGGAATAATTCAGAGATGTTGGTGGCTTGGACTAGGGTGCTAGAGGTGTGGAAGTGGTAGAAGTAAATGAATTTAGGATATATTTCAATTTATTTGGATTAGATTTGGGGAATGAGGAGAAAAGGAATCAAAGAAAAGTCTTAGGTTTCTGGTTTTGCTTAACCAGATGGTTCCTAATTGAGATGAGGTGGGGGGGAACAGGTTTAGTAAAGAAAAATCAGTAGCTCGGTCTCAACTCTTAACAACCCCTCCTTGGGTTCCAAGGTGGTATCACTACGGAAGTAGAGACCCAGAGAGAGAGACCCAGAAAAGGAATCACTATGGTTGAGATCCAAGGTGGTATCACTACGGAAGTAGACTGCTCAAACTTCCTTCCGAGGAGCGGCTGGTGGGTTTGACTCACCAGCCTTCTGGTTAGCAGTCAAGTGCCTTAGGCATTATGCCACCAGGGCTCCCGTAGTTCAGTTTAGGCATGTTAAATTTAAGATGACTATCAATCAGGAGCCCTGATGGTACAGTGGTTTAAGCACTTGGCTGCTAACTAAAAGGTCAGTGGTTCAAACCAACCAGTGACTCAGTGGGGAAAAAGACCTGGCAGTCTGCTTCTGTAAAGATTATAGGCTAGGAAATCCTACAGGGCAGGTCTACTGTCTCCTGTAGGGTTGCTGTGAATTGGAATCAGACAATCAAATGAGATATCAAATAGCTATTTGGATACTAGTCTGAAGCTAGGAGAGATCCAGCTCCAAGATTGGAAATAAAATGTGGGAATCATAAGCTTATAAATGACCATGTGCTCAGATGAAAAAGGGAACAGAAGAAATCTGAGGGCTGACTCCTGGGATTCACCAAATTTTCTGACCAAAGTTAGGGAGAGAAGGAAAGCCAGTGAAGGAGACAGATGGAATGACACTAACGTCAAGAGAAGCCAGGTTAAGAGAGTTCCATGGAGGGTGTCAAATGCTGCTGTGTGTATGTTACCAAATATTAATAACCCAGTTAGATACTTAGTAACTTATCTCTGTTCAAACTTTTATATTTATTATATTAATGTACTTTAGGTTATTGTACATTGTAATGTCTTAAAGAGGAGGTCTGTAATATCTATACATATACTTGCATATTGTAAATTAACATCTCTTTTCTTTTTTAATTAAGGAGACCTCACTAAGCAGCTTCCCATCATGGTGGTGGGAGAGCACAAGGACAAAGTGATTCAGTGTAGATGGCACACCCAGGATCTATCCTTCCTGTCGTCTTCTGCAGACAGAACTGTTACCCTTTGGACTTACAATGGGTAGAGTACACCTAAGTCAGTCTGTGCAGTGAAAGCACAGATACTTAAGACTACCAAGTTGTGAAAATGACACATTTGAAGAACACAGACTGACCAGGAAGTGGCTCAGCATGAGGGAGGCCCCTTATTACCATGTATCCAGTTGATAGGCGGTGTTGGGTGGTGTTATTCTGCAGTGCTTCTGTGTGAGCTCGTGCTGCTGTGACCTGCTATATGTCGTCTCGTTGCCAAAGTTGAGGAAGAGCTCTTTTGTTGTCAGTGTGCACTCTAAGTCATGGTGGATGACGTGTTTACGGTTTAGTATTAAATGCATTCCTTGGTCTTTGCCTAAATAACAATTTTATAGACACACTGAAATTGAACTGTACTTTAAGTATATTATCATATGTAATGCAGCCAAGTTCTACACAGATTAAACATAGGTGTTCGGAAGTTACTTTTGCTCGTCTCACAATCCTATGCTACTGTATCACTTGTCAGCTAGAGATGAGAATTTCATATATCTTTCTCAAAAGTTACATGGTTGTTTTCACTAAGGATCATTATGGAGTTTAAAGATGGTTAGAAAACAGCTTCTTAGTTCATTATGTGGTATAGGCCTTTTCTTTATTTCTTAAACCAGAGAAATGACAATTATTTTGTTACATTATTTTGTTTCAGGCTAAAAGGTAAGTGTTTGCTTCAGAGATTGTTAATTTCAATATTTTTGAATGCAACAAGATACCTCCCTGGTAAACTGTACTGTGGAAGCAGAGCAGCAGCAGTTATGTGATGCAACACTTGAGGGTACAGTAAATTGACTGGCTAGCATTTTCCCCCCTTAAAAAAAAATAATAATTTGCCATAGACCATAGCATGGCTTGAAATGCTATGTCTGCATGATAATTTAAAATGGAAAATTTAAACTTTACACTCCAAAAGCTTATTTGGATTTTTTTTCTTGCACTGTTTTATGTAATGCAGAATAATGATTTTATTGCTACAGCATTGTAGATCCTAACATTTATGTATCTTTATTTTCATATTGTACAGTAATTTTACTTTAAATTATTAAATAGGCTATTTTATTTATTTTAAATGCAGTTGAGTTGGTTCTAAAAATTGAAACTGTCTGTGCACTGTATGTAGCAAGCATTTTTAATCCATTGTATACAAGTGGAAAAGGGTATTAGACGTGTAACTGTGCTATTATTTCAATAAAGACCTCTTGACACCTGAAACATTCCTGTTTCTCAGTGTATTGGTTTGCTAGTGCTGCTGTAACAAAAATACTATGAGTGGGTGACTTTAAAGAACAAAAACTTAATTTTCTCCCAGTTCTGCAGGCTAAAAATCCAAACTAGGATCTCAGCCATAGTGATTCCTTCTCTGGATCTCTCTCCAGGTTTATGGTGACTGCCATCAGTCCTTTATGATCTTTGGCATTCCCTGGTGTTGCTTGGAATCTATCTTCCTTGTTGTGTGATTCTGCCATTTCTCTTCTTTTTTTTTAAAAAATAACTCAAAAGTGATTAGGTTTAGATCCCATCCTACTCTGGTATGACTTCACTAACATAACAAAACTCACTACCATTGAGTCAGATCTGACTCATAGTGACCCCTCCTTGGGTTTCGGAGGCAGTATCTACTGAAGTAGATTGCTCAACCTTCCTTCTGAGGAGTGGCTGATGGGTTTGAACCGTCAGCCTTCTGGTTAGCAGTCAAATGCCTTAGGCAGTACGCCACCAGAGCTCCCAACATAATGAAGGAAAAACTTTTATTCTAAACAGGCTCACATCCATAGATACAGGCACCAGGACTTCAAATACATATTTTGGGGGACACAATTCAATCCGTAACACTCAGTGTCTACGGTTTTCAAGTTAGAGTGTTTTCTCTTTCTCTCTCTCTTTTTTTTTTTCCTGAGTATTATTTTTCAAGTTTACTTGGAACTAGTGTGGTCCAATTAGATGAACCCCATATTCAGTTCTTACATTTCTTTCTAAGTTCTTCCATTAACTTGCTTTTTATCCCTTGACGAATGCATAATACCTTCTATTTCTTTTTCCAAGGTTTAGAGAAATTTTCTATCCAGAATATATTGTTAAAGTTCATCAATAAAGCCTGGCAAAAATGTATAAATTCTAACTTAGACTACAAATATGTGGAAGTGAGTGTTTTAGAAAGAAATGAAATACAGTTAGCTTGTGGTGTTCAGTATGTAGTTTTCCTACATCTCAGGTACACAAAAAGGACTTCTGCTAAATGTAGGCCACAGCCTCTCTTTAGTTTACTAAACCCAAACAGATGCAGTGCTTCCTAAACAGTGACTCTCCTTTTCCTCCTGGCTCCCACCCCTGGTAACCACTAATAAACTTTGGTCTCTCTACATTTGCCTATTCTTGTTGTTAATATTGGTGAGACCATACAGTTATCTGCCCCTTTGTGATTGACTGACTTCACTCGCCATGTTTTCAAGGTTCATCTATGTTGTATCTTGTGTCAGGACTTCATTTATCTTTATGTAGATGGACTCTTGGGAGAGGACTGTTCACTCCCAATCCTTTTCAATTGAGGCTCTGTGTGTGCATGGGGGAGCCTGGGAGATAGGGTTAGAGGGGCGATGCAGAGATTAACTCCTCTGCAGGAGCTTCAGAGGTCTGATTAGAATTTTATTTTTTATTGTTTAACTATGTAAAAAAATTGTAATAACATGCACACTTCAGTGTATTAATCATATATCAAATTTGAAGACAAATTTGTTGCCATTTGATTTACTTTTGTGTACATTTCTGAATAAGACTTGTCGTCATTTCCTCTTTGAAGTTTCCTGAGATTGCAAAGCCAGCAGTTAAAGACTAAATTTCCAACTACTCCATACGGTGTGATCTGCACCCTCCCTGCCCCCCAAACCTGAATATCGTCGTCATCCATTATCTCCCATTTTAAACAGGACAAACGCTCAGAATAAATTTCCAGTTTTCATTGCAAATGTCACACATCTGAATTTAGAAAATACATAAATACTAATAAAATACACTTCTTATCCGTTTTATATATTTGGGTTTCACGTAAAGATTTCATCTGGATGCCTGTGTCGTTCTCTTGAGAATCTCTGGGTGTGCTTTCCTTTGATGTGTGCTCATTTTGATATTTTGTCACGTTGGCAGCCAAAAAGTGCTTCCTCAAGTACAGCTCAAACCTTTTCTACTTAATTAAAAAAAAACCAAACTTTGTTTTTCATCGGAATAGTTCTCCTGCCCTAAACAAGCAACAAACAAGCAAGCAAGCAGAGCCCGGCCCCGCCTCCTCGGCGGGCCAATCAGCTGCGCGCCCAGAAGGCGCGCCAGCCGCGGGCCGAGTGAGTCGATGTCGAGACGCGACCGGCGCTCTCTGAAGCGCTTGGCGGCTTCCGCAGGCCCCTTGCCATCTTCTCCGATCGCCTGGGCAGGTATCTTCTTGAAGAGGCAGGGGGGCGACCCGAGTGGTGAGTCCGCGCGGTCGGGTGTGTTTTTGAGGCCGGCCAGTGGGCCGACGGGCGGGGCTGCAGGGTCGGCCCCAAAGCTCCCCGGGCGCGAAGGGAGGCCGCAGACGTTGACGGGCTGGGAGCAGCACGCGCAGCGCTGGGCCGCAGGGACCTGTGCGGTGACTTCGAACTCTTTATTTACGGGGATGGGCGGGCGAGACCTCCCTCCTTATCTCCCGGGTCAGTTGGCTGCCCTATCTTTGGTTGCCACAGGGTTGCTGCTGCGTTACACGGTTCAAAGAACGGCCTGGAGAAAGGGACAAGCTAGTGCAAAGCAAGACCAGAGTCAACGTTGAATTTTGTTGGCTTCGATTATCTCTGAACACTTTAAGTATAATTTGAACAAATACAGTCAGTAAAGTAGGTGTAATTAACTTTTTTCGAAAACCCAAATCCAATTTGAGTGTAAAAAGTTAAGAGTGTTAAGTTAGTGTTTAGTTGTGCGTTAATGACCAGGGGGTGGGGATGAAAACAGTTCAGGTTTTCTTAATGAAAGTGGTTCTGAAAGTGTGGTCCCAGACTAGCAACGTTCTCATCCGGCAGCATGTTGGAAATGCAAGTTCTCCAGCTCCGGGGGCATGAGGCCCAGCAGTCTGCTACAAGTTCTCCAGGTGATTTTGATCCACGCTCAAGTGAACTAAATTGCAAACCCTTGACTTTAATGCATGGTACATATTCCAAAACCAAAACCATTTGCCTCTGCATGGATTCTGATTCATGGCAACACCAGGTGTATCAGAGTAGAACTGTGCTCCATAGGGTTTTCAGTGACTGATTTTTCAGTAGATCACCAGGTCTTTCTTCCTGGTGTTTCTCAAACCTCCAACTTTTCAGTTAGCAGCTGAGTCTACATGTGCTGCTCAGTCATTGTCGTCACTGTCAAGCTTATCAACTGAAGCATTTCAGTGTTTAGCTCAACTTGGTCCGCACTCCATTACAAAATCAAAGCTGACTATTATAAATTCTTTTGGCTTTCTCACATCGCTAGCAGTTGATGCTGCCAGCTGGGAACTTGGTGGAGCATCTCTGTACATAGCCTCTCCCTGTGGCTTGGCCATCTCACAGTGTGGCAGTTGATAGCAAGAGGGGATGTCCCAAGAGCAACGATTCCAGAAGGATTAAGTTGTAAACCCCATTGTTGTGGAGTTGATTCTTACTCAGTCACTCTATAGGACAGTAGAACTGCCTCATGTAGTTTCCAAGGTTGTAAATCTTTACAGAAACAGACTCCCTCATCTTTCTCCTGCACAACAGCTGGTAGGTTCAAACTACTAGCCTTTTGGATAGCACCCACAGCGCCATCAGTAGAAGCTACTAGTCTCTTCTAGAGTAGGCTCTGAGCCAGCACAGCCTAACTTCTACCATGTCATTTTGGTTGAGTAGTCACAGTTGTTGTTGTTATGTGCCATGGAGTCGGACTCAACTCATAGTGACCCCTCCTTGGGTTCCTGAGGCAGTATCACTACAGAAGTAGTTTGCCCAACCTTCCTTCTGAGGAGTGGCTGGTGGGTTTGAACCGCCAGCCTTCTGATTAGCAGTCAAGTGCCTTAGGCACTATGCTACCAGAGCTCTTAAGAGAGGCTCGGCTTTGTGGCAGGCTTGAACTGCAGCATTGTGTGTGGCAGGTGACTGCCTTAGGCCTGAGGCCAACCCCTAGGGCCCAGTAGTCACAGGGCCAGCCCAAATTCAGGAGGAGGGGAAGTCACCTCCATCTATCTTGGAGCTAATGACAAAGCATTTGTGGCCATCTTTATTTTCAGAGATCTTCCCTAAAATACCCAATATTGCCTGATCTGGCTGTCCCGTTTTCTTGCTTTATTTTCTTTATAGTCTTAACGCTATCTGAAATTATATTATTTACCAACTTTTCCTTCTAGAATATATAAGCTTTTTGTAGAAGATCTGGCCTAGTCCCTGTCATGTAAACCAATGCCTGATCTACAATAGGTATTTATAATTGTTGAACAAATGAATGCTGAACTTTTCCCCAAAACCATATTGTCATTCTGAATTTCTCTTTTAAGTTAATGATATCACCATTTTCATTGTCAGTAGGAGTTGAAATCTTGGAGTCCTGTTTGACATATTCCTTTTCCTTTCCTTCCCATGCAGGCGGTTGCTTAGGTCTGTGAAATTAACCCTCAGATGTGTGGTGTGCATTCTTTCTGTTTTCATTGCACAGCCTTTCAGACTGACTACCACATCCTTTTTCTACTTTAGCCTTCTTGGACTTTGTACACAGGGTTTTCCTCTCATGTGCATTTACATTTAACACTGATTTGATCTTTCTAAAATGAGCTCCCATCACTCCTTTAAAAAAAAAAATTACAGTTTTATTATAAAGGCTACAAATCAGTACCAGCATAAAGAAGTGCAGAGGGTGAGGTCTAGGAGAGTCCCCAACGGGAGGATTCCTGGTTCTAGGGGATGCCTTACTCCTTGGTATATTAATATCTGTCACCAACAAGGAAGCTTGTATGAGCTTCAGTGTCCAGAGTGCTTGTTGGGGTTTCATTCCATGCTGCTGCTGTGAGCTGCCATCATCTCACGGTGACTGCAGCATGCACAAGGGAACATGGACCACTGATCCGTAGGGCTTACAGTGGTTGATTTTTGGAGGTCAGTCTCCAGGCCTTCCTTCTGTGCTCCTGTCACTCTTGAAAGCTACACTGGGCAGATGAAGTTAGTCATAAGCCTCTTGCTTTGGCACTGTTACTGCAGCCTGTCTAAAGCTGTCATCCCCCCATCCTGACCTCCCCTCCCTCCCCGCCCTAAGCAACCACTAATCTACTCTCTATCGTCTGTAGATTTGCCTTTTCTGGAAGTTTCATATAAATGCAGTAATATGATATGTGGTCTTCTGTGACTGGCTTCTTTCCCTTAGTATAGTGTTCTCAAGGTTTATCCATATATCAGTACTTCATTATTATTATTATTTTTTAGACTTAATAATGTCCCACTAGAGGAATGGACATTTTGAGTTGTTTCCACTTTTTAGCTTTTATGAATAATGCTACTGTAACCATCTGTGTACAAGTTTTTTGTTAACGTATATTTTCTTGGATAGATACCCAGGAGTAGAATTATTGGGTCATGTGCAAAAACCTGTTTTCTTATTATCTCATTAAGAATATGTGTGTGTCTATGTACGTTAATATATTAATGTTTTTGAGTATTTTAATTTTATGTACTGTCCTATTTGGAAGGAAGGAAAGCATCATCTTAACACTAGAAAGAAGTAGCTAGATTAAGTTTTCATTAAAGGTGATTCCTTTTGAAACTAACAATATTTTGTTACATCTGTATTAAAAAAATTCCAGGCTCGTGCAGGATGCTGTGTTCTTTGCTCCTTTGTGAATGTCTGTTGCTAATGGCTGGCTGTGCTCAGGATGATGACTGGATTGACCCCACAGACATGCTCAACTATGATGCCGCTTCCGGAACGATGAGAAAATCTCCTCAGGTACTGGAAGAGTATCTGTGAGACTGTCGGTTCTGTCAGGAAGTCATCTACGTTCTTGTTGTTTCACACAGAACTGTGAGAGTCATCTGTCAGTGGTCAGCAGCCAGGCACAGTATCTTCCTGACTCTCTTAGTCTAGATGATTTCAAACCCACTAGGTTATTTCTGTTTCAAATTTGGATATAACACCCACCAACCAGCAAATTAACATGATTTTAGTTCTTAGCTATTACATACATCTGTGACTTTATTAGTAGTTTCATACAGTTAAAGGATAAAATAAGCAGAGTCATAAATTTTAGTCTTCACTGAGTGAGTTATTTTTGCAGCTGAACTATAAAGAAATGAGAGTTTCTCCACTTTATTTTAGGTGAACTATGGTGTATCAGAGAGAAAGGATGTTGACCCTCACTTACTATATGCTGATGAAATGTCGGAATGTTACCGCAGACTTGATTCTTTAACTCATAAGGTTAGGTTTTTTCATTCACAAATTTTATGCTATAATATTTATGTTGTTAAATCGTTCTGTTTTCTTCTCTTTGCAAACATCATTTGTGTTCTATCCACTATATATTTAAAAATTGTATGTGTACATACATGAAATTTTTTTCATGTACTCTAACCTTAGATTTTTTTTTTAACAGTATTTATATTTCCCTGTAATAATGTTTATCTCATTGTGTTGTAATTCTTCACCAGACTATAAGTCTCTTGGGACAAGGAATATGTTTTATTCGTCTCAGATTTTCCACCATCTATCACAGTTTGGGGCCATAATAGCCTCACAACAAATGTAGCAAAGGAAGCAGTGGGCCCGTTAGCAGCTTGTAAAGCATAAGAGGTACTCGTACCCATAGAAGAGGTGGCTGTCATGTAGTGTGTGGTAGCAATGCATTCCTTCATTGATTCAGGCCTTTTATGTGAGTGCAGTAGGGCTTACGTGAATGAAAGTGAATCAGGACTGTTAGGAGTCTGAACTTGCCCATCATGCTGTAATAAGCCCTTTTGTGAGTTGTGTAGACGGGGTGAATGGGCAGGGTGGGGACGGCCTGTGGCCTGGAGTAGAGAAGGGTGCAGTGAGACCGTGGGGGGTTGCAGAGACCCAGCAAAGCTGCAGGCTAGAAATGAGGTGGTGGCAGGGGTCGGAGAGAAGAGGAAGATGTTAGACTTTATAAGGTAGAATAGATAGCTTTAGGTGGTGAGGGAAGGGCGGATAAGGGATAGGGAAGAGCAAGAGTGAATGATGAAACTCCCAGCTTGGGAAATGGAGAATAAGTTCTTCACAATCCAGTATATCTCCATTAATGCCTGTAGTTCTTATCAAATGTGAACATTTGCCCAGTGCCAGCAAGGAAATGCTTGGATAAAATGTGCCTCAGTTGAAGTCGGTTTCACGGTGCCCAAAGGTAGTTTGGTTACATAGCAAGAAATGCAAATACCCCTAAAACTATTGGCCTGAGGTAATCTTTAAACTTTAAACCAAAAAATACCCTAAAATCTTAAAATCGAACATTAGTTTAGCTTTGCTAGTAAAAGAAAGTCTGCCTTGAGCATTATGCTTTTTTTTTTTCTTTTTTTAAGATGTATCTGTATGAGATCCAATTGACACTAGCAACTCAAAAGATTAGATGGGAATATTAGGGGCAGTGAGTTTATGTTAATGGGGAGGAACAGCTCAGAAAAGGAAGATGAGGATGTTTGCACACCTCAAAGAGTGATCAGTGTCACTAAATGGTGCATGTAGTAACGGTTGAGTTGGTGTGTTTTGCTGTGTGCATTCTCACAGCAAAATAAACATTTTTTTAAAAATGCAAATAAATTTTTATAGAAATTTTTCATTCTATTGTTTGTGACTTTGGTTCAAACATTGTAAAAAGATGATTGGTGAACTGGAGTCCTGAGTCCTTTTTTTTTTTAGAAAAAAGTTTTTCTTAAAGATTTAAAAATAAAATGATTTCTAAACCTTATTGAAAACAGAGGAAATGGCCACATAACTTCTTCCCCCTCCCCCCTTTTTTAAAAAAATAGTGATTTGGATAAAAGTTCACAGACCAAGTTCATTTTGCACACAGCAGTTCATACACGTTTTGTTTCATGACACTGATTGCAGTCCCCATAATGTAACAGCTCTCTTTCTGCTTCCTCCCTTGGTTACCTTTTCCCTGTATTCTTCTTGTCTATGCATTCCTGCCCTCTGAGCTGTCTCCCTATGCAAATACTCCCCTTCTGATCTCCCATAGTTGATTGTTCTAAAGAGTGCACCTACCTGGTATAAATGATCACCTTAAATACCTGTCTGTTGTTTGGTTGGAAGCCACAGGAGTGAGTTCAGTTCCAGGTCTGAAGGGTGACTAGGGGCCATACATAGTCTTGGGGGTTTCACCAGTCTCTATCAGACCAGTAAGCCTGGTCTTTTTTTATGATTTCAAGTTTTGTTGCACATTTTAATCCGACTCTACCCAAAACCAAAAACCAAACTCACTGCTGTGGAGTCAGATCTGACTCATAATAACCCCTCGGGTTTCCAAGGTAGTATCACTACGGAAGTAGATTGCCCAACCTTCTTTCCCAGGAGCGGCTGGTGGATTTGAACCACCAGGCTTCTGGTTAGCAGTCAAATGCTTTGATCCCTTTCTGAGAGGTTGACATTGGTAGCCAGGCAACATCTAGTTCTGGTCTTTGGGTCATGTAATCTGAGGTTCACGTGGTCCACTAGTCCCTTGAGACTGATTGTTTCCATGTGTCTTTAGTTTTCTTCTTCTTTTTTCTGGACGAGGAGAGACCAATTGTTGCATGTTAGATGGCCGCTTGCAAGCTTTTAAGACTCAGTTGCTACTCACCAAAGTAAGATATAGAACAATGTTTTTGTATTGTATATTATGCCAGTTGAGCTTGATGTCCCCCATGACCATGGTCCTGAGCTGGTGGGCCCAGTGACTCACTTCCTTAGGGTGTTTGGCTGTGGCTAAGAAGTTATCATAACTTTGCCCTGTTAGCTCTATTATATATATGGACATTGTTATGTCTACATACAAACATGTATGTAGAAATATTGTCTGCCAGACTTACATATGGTCATGGGTATATTCCCTTTTGCCTAGACATACCTGATCATTTAGCCTGTCTATCTATGTATCCAGCCATAGATTAATGTTAGTTATTACTGATAACGCAGTATTGTGTGTGTAAAAGTGCTTATCTTTGTTGTCTGTACCTCTTGTACAGGTCTGTGCGTCTTCCTTTTCCTTAGTGTTACTGTGTTGGTCACTTGTTTTTGGTATATTGCTTTTCCCTTCACCCAAATCAACACTTGTCTCTTACCTAGCTAGCAGTTTTCCCTCCCCTCCCTGGTAACCAACAAAGTTTCCTTGCATAGCCCATGACTTCTTGAGTGCTCTACCCTCGGTCTGCATGAACTGCTCAGTTATTGTCATTTGTATCAACTGAAGCTCATTTCAGTGTTTAGGTCCACACTCCATTACAGATTCAAAGCTGATTATTATTAATGTTTGTAAAGAGCTCTGGTGGTGCAGCAGGTAAGGCATTCAGCTGCTAACTAAAAGGTTGGTGGTTTGAATCCACTAGCTGCTCTGCAGGATAAAAATGAGGCCTTCTGCTTCTGTAAAGATTTATAGCCTTGGAAACCCCATGGGGCAGTTCTGCTCTGTCCTGTAGGGTCGCTATGAGTCAGAATCAACTTAATGGCAGTGGATTTGGTTCAGCTAATGTTTGTAAAACATCCCTTACCCTTGTTCACAACTTGGTCACTGTGGTAGGGCTAGAGCTGAGTCAAGAGGAAGGGAGTTCTAATGAACATTATGTACTCAGCAGTTGCCATTGTTCCTGCCCTCCTGCCACAAGCCACTCAGTAGAGGATGACCAGTCATTGACACAAATAACTAATAAGAAGCCAAAAGTCATATGCACATTCAGGAAATTCTTTGCCGTGTCCTTCATCTTCTGGATTCATCCTATGTATCTATTTGTCGGTCTGTTTATACACACACACACACACACACGTATATGTATTTTTTAACTTCTTTCTTGAAATCATGACTTTAGAATTAGGAAGAAGCTGACTGGTTCACTGCCTCCTACTTCGTGATCTGGTAGCCTCCGTTTCCTCTTTTAAGATTACTGAAAAAAGAAAGTGCTCAGAAAACTGCCAGGTCAGGGCTAAGTGCTGTTGAACGTGCTTTCCTGGTTGCCTGCCTACCCTTTGCAAAGAAAACCATGGTTTTAGGGAGCAGACGGGCTCTACGCTGTAATGTGGCTGATGAATACAAGTTTGATGAAACTAAAGAGCTCCTTACTAGAGGGGCTGTTAGAGCGGACACTTGACAGTTATGTTACATTTCGATGCTTACTAATAATGAATTTATTATGTGATTTCAGATTGATGAATGTGAAAAAAAAAAGAAGGAAGAATATGAAAGTCAGAGCAATCCTGTTTTCAGGAGATACTTAAATAAGATTTTAATTGAAGCCAGAAAGCTTGGACTTGTGAGTATTTAGTGATACTAGTTAGTGTGGCAGATATTTTCATTTTTTTTTAAAAATTCAGATCATATAAAGCAGTGATAAAGCATCATGAGAAGGAGCAGAGGATGCCTGATTGACACTTTTACCAGAACTGATCACGCCAGGTTAAAGAGAGCAGCTTACTTACTGATGGTTTGGGGGATGGCAAATGCTGTCATTTATGGGGATTTACTTATTCAGCTCTGTGGACTTGTTACCACTCGAGTTGAAGACTTGTTTCACATTTGCTATTTGGAAACTTTACTAAGCAGTTTAAAACCTTAACAGGGCCACAGCTTGGTACGAAAATTCTGTCTTGGTCCTTCTTGTTTTCTACGTTTCTCCAGTTCTTAGTTGTATGATACAAGATCGTTATATGCTGAGGAAAAGAGAATGTTTTAGCTAGTTGTTTTCCCTTGTGTTTTACTATGGTAAGTGCTGCTTTAAAGAATTGTATATTGTATGCATATTGTTGTTTCTTTGCTATTAATAAGGTTTTCCCTGACCAGTTCTTTGAGAAGTGGACAGCCTCTTCCTTCTTCCTAGTCTGTCTCAGTCTATAAGCTGGGCTGTTACCTGTGCACCAGGTGCATCTCGCTGGGTTTTAAACACCAGAGGCTCAGCCTCAAAACTCACGTCTACATGTCACCACAGTAGGACAAACCAACAGACAAGTTTGTCTTGGTATTGGAGACCTCTCATATCACCCCCACCTGGGTCCCTGTGGCTGACTACACCTCTGTCTGGCTTCCTGGCTTTTAATCCCCTTTCTCCTGCTCTTCCCACCTGCTGCTTTGGGCGTCCCTGAGTTAGTTATTAAATTAAAAGCCTGTATCCCTGGGGCTGACTGCTCTTCTGTCCTGGTTCCTGGCTTTTATCCCCTTTCTCCTGCTTTCCCGTCCTGCTGCTTTGGGCGGGCCTGAGTTTCCTCTCCTCACCTAATCCCTTTGGCTGATTGCTCTTGTCTCTGGCTTCCTGGCTTTTAATCCCCTTTCTCCTGCTCTTCCCACCTGCTGCTTTGGGCGTCCCTGAGTTAGTTATTAAATTAAAAGCCTGTATCCCTGGGGCTGACTGCTCTTCTGTCCTGGTTCCTGGCTGTTATCCCCTTTCTCCTGCTCTCCGGTCCTGCTGCTTTGGGTGGGCCTTAGTTTCCTCTCCTCACCTAATCCCTTTGGCTGATTGCTCTTGTCTCTGGCTTCCTGGCTTTTAATCCCCTTTCTCCTGCTCTTCCCGCCTGCTACTTTGGGCGTCCCTGAGTTGTCTCTCCTCACCTGTAACCCTGGGGCTGACTGCTCTTTGAGGTTGTCAAAGAATTCACGTTGCTTGGTTCTACAATTGATGCCAACAGAAGCAGCAGTCAGGACATTAGACGACGTGTAGCATTGAGAAAGTCAACTGCGAAGGAACTGTTTCAAGTGCTGAGGAGCAAGGATATCTCCTTGAGGACTAAGGTGTGCCTGACACAAGCCATGATATTTCCAATCGCCTTGTATGCATGTGAGAGCTGGAAAATGAATAAGGAAGACCGTAGAAGAGTGGATGCTTTTGAGTTGTGGTGCTGGAGAAGAATGCTGAAAGTACCATGGACTGCTAAAAGAACTAACAGATCTGTCCTGGAGGAAGTGCAGCCAGAATGCTCCTTGGAAGCAAGAATGGCCAGACTTCTGTCTCACCTATTTTGGTCATGTTGTAAGAAGGGACCATTCCCTGGAGAAGGATGTCATGCTTGATAGGGTGGAGGGTCGACGAAAGAGGGGGAGGCCTTCAATGAGATGGATTGACATGGTGGCTGCTATGATGGGCTCAAGTATAGCAGGGATTGTGGGGCTGGCGCTGGATCGGGCAGTGTTTCGTTCTGCTGTGCATGGGGTCACTATGAGTCGGAAACGACTCGCCGGCACTTAACAACAACAACATGCATATTGTTCATATCTACCCACTGTCATTGAGTCGATTCCAATTCATAGTGAACCTGTAGGAGAGTGAAACTGCCTCAGAGGGTTTTCAAGGATGTAATGTTTACAGGAGCAGACTGGCACATCTTCCTTCTATGGAGCAGCTGGTGTGTTTGATCCCCTGACCTTTTGGTTTCAGCCGAGGGCTTTAACCACTGCACCACCAAGGCTTTTTATATTCTCAGTCAGTGTAAAAAATCTCATTTTTAGGAGCCATGGCTTTCACTTTGGGAAGTCAAAACATCAAGAAAACTTTTAATTTAATAACTTCTAATATATCCAGGTAGCATAGTGCCTTCGGCACTTGACTGCTAACCAGAATGCTGGTGGTTCAAACCCACCAGCCACTCCTTGGAAGAAAGATGGGGCAATCTACTTCCATAGTGATACTGCCTCAGAAACCCAAGGAGGGGTTGCTATGAGTTGGGTCTGACTCGACAGCACATAACAACAACAACAACAATATATCCAGGAGCTCTTGTGGTGTAGTGCCTAAGACATTTGACTGCTAGCCAGAAGGCTGGTGGTTTAAACCCACCAGTCCCTCCTCAGAAGGAAGGTTGGGCAGTCTGCTTCCGTAGTGATACTGCCTTGGAAACCCAAGGAGGGGTTGCCATGAGTTGGAACTCACTCCATGGCGGTGAGTTTGGAGTTTGATTTTTGTGGTAATACATCCTGTTTGTAAAACTCGTTTTGAAGCACACAGACATTTTTCCTGTTGTGTGTTTTCCAGAATTGGTCTGCTGAGTGGGAGTCCAGACTTGACTTTGTGTCCTGAAACACAGGCAGTTCCCAAAAAAGACTGCCAGCAAGACAGGCTGGCTGAACCTGCCTGTATTATAATTTTTTAAGCAGTCTTTTCTCCTGGGACGGTAAGAAGTGACCAAAGGGGAAGAGGTGGGTGTTAGGTGAATAACTGATTACCACCACCCTGTTCTGGAATTGTAAAAGCATGGGTATTCTCATCTGTACATTCTTTATTTTGTATACAAGGTTTAATAGAACCAATTTTATAGAGGGGAACTTTCAAAGCCAATAAAATACTTAAGATCAGGATAAACCAAAATCCGTTACCACAGAATCAATGAGAAGATGATACATGGGAATATTTAGCTCTGATTTTCTTTAAAAAAATACTAATTGATATTAGTTAATGATTGTCTTTTGCCCTTACTGATGATTTGTGATGTTACATGACCACTTTTTTTTTAACTTTATTTACATTTGTATATAAATACCTGCATCTAGTCTTTTTTTTTTTTTTAATTGCGATTTGAGTGAAGATTTACAGAGCAAATTCACTAACCATACAGCAGTTCACATACACTTTGTCTCATGACATTGACCACAGTTTACCACAATACAACAGCTCCCCTCCCACCTCCTCCCCACAGTTACCTCTTCCCAGTGTCCGTCCCTCCCTGGGCTCCTGCCCCCTGAGCTGTCTCCCTGTGCATAAGCAGCCTTTCTTTCTCCCATGATTGTTCTCTCCAAGGAGTGTATCTACTTGAGGTAAATGTTCAACTCATATGCCTATCTTTTGTTTAGCTGGAAACCACAGGTGTGGGTTCAATTTCAGATCCGAAGGGCAGCTAGGGGCCATAGTCTCAGTGGTTCCACCAGGCTATTGGACCAGCAAACCTTGTCCCCCCCTTTTTTTCCTCCAACTGATTTTGAATTTTGTTCCACATTGTTCTCCCTCTCTATCACGGATCTACACAGATCCCCTTCCAAGTGGATGACAATGGTAGCCAGGCACCATCTAGTTCTTCTCATAGTCATATAGGCTGCAGATCAGATGGTGTACCAGTTGTTAGGACTAATTGTTTCCATGACTTTTTGGTTTTCTTCATTCTTCTTTGCTCTGGACGAGG